AAACGAAGCTAGATATTCCACGGTAAAAAAAAAAATGATAACAAAGTACGCGATGCGTACGTTGTCCGATAAACCCGTAAACTCTGTACCGCACAGCGCTCTTTTGTAAATCCGCTCTTAATTTTAAAAGACAGCCCGCACGAAGGAAAAACTCTGCGAAAATCTAGAATTTCTCGAGAGGGAAACTCGCGCGCGAACATGAAGAGCTGATTACGCGGATCCGAGGTTTTCAAGGAAAACGGTATCCTCTGTTACTTCTTTGATGATTCCTGTGTAGAGCGCAGTTTAGACCACAAAATATGTGAAAAATAAGCGGAGATATATAAAAACTAACGCGAAGTTAAAAAGTAAAAAAAAAAAGAAATCATCATACGGATAACGAGAGATATATTAATAAATTTCGCTTTGTTTGTTTTAAAAATATTTTTGTGACTCCTCTTATTACACGTTAATAAAATAAATGTAAAATTTTAGAAATTAGATGTGCTTCTTTCAAAAAATATTTGTAATAACTAGAATAGAATAGAGAAGGTAACACCTGGCCAATTCGATCTTAGGAGCGTGATAATTTTTCTTTATTGAATTTATATATATATATATATATATATATATATATATATACATATATATATATATATATATATAAATTCGAAATTGATTGCTTATATCGCAAACTACGTGCCATTATTGTTAATGCAACAATTCAAAGCAAGTTTTTAATAAATCGATAATCAAATTTGAAATCGATTAATCCTCCCTGTGTTTATATTTACATTTATAATATTTTATTAGAGATCACAAGAGGAAAGAGAGCCTGGCTACTTTTAAACAAGCTGTTGCGCGCTACTTATTAAGTCGATATTTTATGCACAAAAAAAATTCGCAAAGTAGTACAAGTGATTAATGGCCGTTACTGGTTTCCTCAAACTCCTCTGATGGTCGAGATTTTCCCCGATAAAAATGAAAACATCGATAATGTGGTCGACAAAATACTCAGATAGGAGGAAGAAGGAAGCTGTCAACTGTATTGGAGAACATCTGGCAACTCGAGAGATCCCCGTATTAAAACGCCATGCATTTACGGAATGAAATCAATACGCGGTGTATTGTGTCTCTCACTTTTTAATCGTCCCGATAGATTTTTGTTTGGATGACAAATCGGTGCTTAAAGCCAACTTTTCGATCCTTGATCTTTTCACCTCGCGCATCATATCTCGCTTTTTGCATTGTATACAACATTTATTATACAAAGTATTTTTATGCACAAAATAAATAATAATAAATAATCAATTTATAAAATATGCATATATACATTTAGAAGTTCTAGACAATAGAAAGAGAAAGAGAAAGATGAACAGGAAGAAAAAAGAGGAGACTTGAATCTTTCATCAATAATATAGATCTATTTTATAAGACGAGAGAAGAATTATAAAGATAGCGCTCGCTCGCGCCTTCCTTTTTTGATGGTATTAAGATAAGCGAGAGTAACACGAGAGAAGAGGGAATATATACGACTCCACTCCACATAAATGCGACAAAAGAAGAGCCCCGCGATTTCCCAGAGAGAAGAACAGAGGACAAGGCGAGCAACAGCGTGCAGCAAGGCTATCTACTCTTTACGAAAGGAAAGGAATACGAATACTGGAAAGTGTTCGACTTCTTCTTGCAACGGCCGGTCACGATAAACCTTGCTGGATTATGGTCGGTCGGGCTTGAGAGAAGAAGATTAGAGAAAATCCCGCGTGGCAAATGAAGTTTGCTCGTCGCGTCGTGACGATCTTATCGGGGAGCAAACACGTTTAGAGCTTGTACTGTTGACAATCTCACCGATTGTTCACCGAATATAGTAAAAGAAAATCTACGTAGTAAAAGAAAAACTACACTAGGAAATCGTCATATTTGAAAAATTAAATTCTTGTGAAAGCTATTAAAAAGTATTGTTTTTCATGGTGAACAGTCTGTATTATTGCTGAGCGATAATTCAAATTTGATAAATAAAATAGTACAAGGTGAGAAAAAAATTGATTTTAAAATAAATTTGTAACAACTGAAATTATTCGTTTCGTTTCCTTATTAAGTATTGGTTAATTATCGAAGGATAATTTCTATTTTTTAATATAATATATATCATCAAGTTTATAAAATTTCATCAAGACATAATTAAATACCGTATTATAATATAATAATCTTTAGATATGCGTCACAGATGAAAGTTTTTAAGTTCTTGCATATGTCCAAAGAACTCAGATTTCCTTCCGATACTAATGAGATACCTGAAAACTTTTATTATGCAGACGATATTTTCTTACTCGTCTCGCTATTCCTTCCTCTCGAGATTGGTAACCAAAGCACATACGTCTTTTATAACGTAGAAAAGCTTTAAAATTCTGCAGTGAAGGCAGAAGAGAAAGCAATGGAATATAAAAAAAAAAAAAATTCCCTTAGGCATTTCTTATTCTCGGCATACCGCTTTGATAGACACGCCAGCCATTTATTCACGCGTGATTTAGTGATCTGTCACTTCATATTCTTCGCTTGGTATTATTAAGCATTCTTGATTATTGTCTGAGTTACTTTGTGATGGATGCACGAGATTGTGTTGCAAAAACATATTTTCGCAAAATTGCATTTGTTTCGCGATACACTCTTTTTCTTTTACACGAAAACTTTTATATTCTTTTCTCAGCACTCTTATTTTGAAATTGAAACAAGTCTCTTTGATATACACGTCAGTTTTTTATATTATTAAAATATATATACAGAGTGTCCCAGATTTAAGGTGCCAAACTTTGTTAGTACACTCTGTAGATCTAGATAAGAAAAAAATGTTATGTGAACATAGTTTAATGCTTTATTAAAAAGTTACAACAATAATAAATACGCATGATGAACTAATAAAAAAAAATTAATGATTCATTTACAGAGATGAAACAAAATACAGATGAATTTTGTACAATGATAAATTCCATTATCAATCGCTATCAATCTTGTTTTTCTAATGATGGTGGCCATTTTAAAATGGGACATCAGTTGCATCTACAAATTTAGATAAAAATTAGTAATAATAATTAGTATTAAATAATTAATTGTAATGATTAGTATTTAGCAAAAATTAATATTATTATATTATTATATTTGATAAATGCTGATAGTAAACACAACTCGCATAAAAATACATATCATTCTATTCTTAATTGTTTCTTTGGAATTTCGTATTTTATAACTTTTTAATAAAGCATTAAACAACCTATGTTCATATAACATTTTTTTTCTTGTCTAATATCCCATAGAATGTACTGACAAACTTTGGCACCTTAAACCTGAGACATACTGTATATGAATTTTCATTTACATTTTGTAACATGTAATTAACTATACTGTCTAGTATTATTTGAAACACCTGTACGCATACACGAGGACTCAGAAACTAAAGCTCTCGAAAGCAGAAAGTCTGGAAAAGCAAAAGTCTATTCGTTTTATTACATTTATGTTTATAAGGACTTTTATTTCCCGAGCGCAATTGAGTTCTCTGATAATCTAAAGTAGTCGTAAATGAAATTACTTTAACCAATATTGCCGACTTATTCTTGCTATTTTAGCTTGGCGTATTTTTGCTAACGAACCGTAACTAGTCTGAATTAAATTAACAGACGGCTTTCCTCGCGTCTCCGGAGAACGGAATTTTGTTTGAAAACGCATTAGCTAATTGTGAGTTTTAGAAAGAGTTTGACGCTGGACGCGCTTTTACGAGATATTCTCAAGATGAGATGAAACAATTTATTGCTTAGAGAGACGCACAGTAAAACACCTTATTTATCAATTTGTACATCAAACTTCTGGAAAGTTGTAATATTAAAAATGGGATTTGTAGAAAATGAAGGAAAAAGAGAAAAAGGAAAGAGAAGAATTGATATTAGAAAAATCAGCGACCTAACAAGGCAGAATATCAAAAGTTATAAATTATTTTTTTATGAGATCAAATCCGTCAAATCTCTCATATTTCATTTCAGGTTCGGAGATCCCAAAATATTGAAAATTATTAAGCTGTATCTCGAGGTATCCGCATTTTTATTGTAATTTATCAGATACAATTATGTATACATGCTGTGTGAAAATGATTTCAAATTGAAGTCAAATAAAACGTCTCGAAAATACTTTGTCTGTTTCGTTATCTCGTCGACATATTATTTACATTATATTTTCTTCTTCTTGATGGATTCCTCTTACGGATCATTTTAATCTGTCATTATCTGATAATTCGATAAAGATATTTTTATCGTAATAAAGAGCGTAAACTGTGGACTTAGATACTATTAGACGTTACGTGTGACAGCTGAAATTAATAAATCAATATACTTACACGACTTATATATACATTAGATTACGATAGGCAAAACATATATAACAGAGTCACATCGCTTTTAAATATGTCCGTTTTGACCTTATCACTCGACGAGTCTCAGTAGAAAACTTTTACTAATATTCTGCGTTCTTGTACAGTCGAATACACATCGCATTGTAGTCGCGATTACTTAGTACTTGGTTAGAAAAAAGTGATACGAAAGTAAATGCGTGCTCTATCTATTTGATTTTTGACAATTATCGGGGCTGCAAGATGACCAGGAATATATCTGGATATATATTCCTTCTACTTTACGTCTTTTTCTTTAGAGCATCAGCAAAAAGTAATTATAGAAAAATCAATATTATTTTACATCCTAATCATTTACATCTTTTAAACATCTACGACACTATTTTAAGTATCCTTTCACAATATAACGTTGTATGCTTTCAGTCAAGCGTAATTTTTTTCAATATTACGAACAGTGTGCTTCTTTTAATTAATAATATATTTACGAAATTAAATTTAAAAAAAGTTTGTGATATAGAAAACATTTGGAATTTTAAAGACTATAGATAATGTATACAAAAAATGTTTTGTATAAATGTTACAAGTATTTTAGAAATAAAATAATAAGTCTAATTTAATAATTTTTTAGTCGAAGAAATTGTCGATCCGGAGAAAATTCAACTGCTTTTTCATAACTGGTATTTATGATTTTATCATTTAAGAATTGTTTTAATTATTGAAGGATGTATGATATGAGTTTCTTATATTTTAATATTGCTTTAATATTGTATGTCTATGTTTGCAAAATAAAAAACATTTTAATAAAAACTGTTATCGGAATATTAAGAAAATAATATAATTTAAAAAAAAGTAAGCTAAGTTATATGCAACAATAATCAAAATTATTTATTTTATTCATTAATGCTTTACATTTTGATAATAGAATAAATGTTTAGATTTGTATAATATTTTAGTAATAACACGGACAGAGTATCAAACGAGTGCAACATACATGATACGAATTGCATAGAATATGCATATAATCAAATCAGAAAAAATAAAAGTATTACTGTCTTGGCTCACGGATATTTAGGAGGAAGAAATACTCTGCCGACGCCGTACGTCATATCAGGTAATAATAAATTCTCTTACACATATAATATTATTTAATAATTTCTTGAATTCAGCGACCGAATTTATCCCTCGCAAAAACATATACCTATACGTAATACATAAATATATAAGTATATAAGTATATAAATATATAATTTATACAAATATCAAGTTCATAGGTTTGCTAAACTCGATCCCTGAGAATCAGACAGCCCTGCGGGAGTATATTACTTTATAAATAATAAAGTTAAAAGTTAATAAGTACTGAAATAATTTAAATAATTTAAATAAATTCCTTTTAAGATCCCTCTATAAAAGTAATTTAAATAAAATATTCCTATATATATATATATATATACACACTTGTATATGTGGAAGAAAAAATAAATTACATATTAATTTTATTAACAAAGAAATTTTACTGATTGATATAATATTTTACATTCTTCAGCCTATTGTTCGCGAAATACCTCTGCTATTATATTGCTCGACTGGTCTCGATTAGCACGAGGAGATATGTTAATGGTTTCTAATCGAATACCTAAGATCGGAAGGATAGTCGCGTCTAGTTTTGATATCTTAAAAAGAAGAGGATACGAACTAGAAAATTGGCATTTGATTGGGCATTCTATGGGTGCTCACATTGTAGGTTGCGTCGGAACATACACTTATTTTAATTTTTCACATATCACAGGTATGATATAAAACAATATTATCACATCAATTTTGATTTTACTTATATTAACATTTTACTTTTCATTCAATCATTCTTTGAAGACCGTCATAATCTCTTCGAAATTTATTCTCTGCAAATTTTAATAGACTACTTAATAAATTGTGTGACTCATTTCACACAAAATTTGCAAGAGAAAAATGTTTTGCTTAGTCTAAACAATTATTTTATAATTACGATTTTATCGAATTATCTCTATCTCTATATAAAATAAACTAAATCTATAAACATTTCAATTGAGATTTATATTTAAATACGAATGAAAAAAATGTTAATATTATTATTCTCAGTACTCTACTCATAATTATTATTCTCAGTACTCTAATAAAAAAAGAATATCATATGTGTATACTTATTGCTGAATAAATGTTTAAAGGTAAAAGTTTCATCAAATCTCTATTATCGAGGAGGATTAATCTACTAACTTATTATAGAAATATATAATAAAATATTTACATAATACATTACATATATCGATCTGAGTATAGGTTTAGATCCTGCGGAACTTTTTTTTATTCTGACCTGTACGACGGTTGTCAAATTAATTCGAACGTCGCGCAATTCACGGAAGTTTTTTACACGGATAGCGGTGGATATGGCACGATGAAAGAAGTAGGCACTGTTAACATTTACGCCAATACTGGATCGGCACCACAACCTGCCTGCTGTCATTCGCAATATGGCATAAATGGTACTTTTTTAAATTCTGTTTTCAATTTTATTTATTTTTTAACATCTTCTTTTCCTTCTTTTCCTTCTTTTCACTCTCTTCATTTTTTTTATCTACTACTACCAAATGTAATATAATAATATAATATAATATATAAATATATATAAAATTGTATACAAAATATAAAAAGTAATTACAAATATATCTATCGTTATTAAACATGATCTGTAAAGCGTTTTCCAGTGTCGAGATGGTACTTTTTCAAATTCTGTTTTCAATTTTATTTATTTTTTAACATCTTTTTTTGCTTCTTTTCCTTCTTTTCACTCTCTTCATTTTTTCTTTATCTACTACTACCAAGTGTAAATATAATAATATAAATATAATATATAAAATTGTATACAAAATATAAAAATAATTACAAATATATCTATCGTTAATTAAACACTGTTGATCTGTAAAGCGTTTTCCAGTGTCGAGATGCTTTTATTTTTAAAACGCGTTAATTTAGATTTTTATGTAAGATGACGCGTATGACGCGTTTGCGCTAAATCGGAATTCAAACGGACATATTTGCTCGTTACAATGGTGCGAATACGGACCGCGGAATATAAAGTAGGACATACTGTTAATGCTTATCGCGCGATTCCACATAGCGTATTCTTCTGCGCTAGGATGCAGCCACATTAAAGCGGCGGAATGGTATGCCGATGCTGTGAGAAACGAGACAAAGTATTTGGCCACCAAATGCGCGAATTGTTTCGCATTTATGAACTACGCGGGCTACTGCCGTGAGAACGAGCGCATTTATTTCGGACCGCGTATAAACAAGACAGCGTAAGGATAATTTTCTCTCGCTTAGTATCTCTTCCCACTTTCAGCCCACTTGTAATATGATTTAATAATTTAATTTAATTTTCACGCAGAAGCGGCACCTACTGTCTCGTTATCAATTAAAAAGGAAAAACGAGCATTTGTTCCTCCTTTGTGGAAAAACGAGCATTTGTTTTCGTAAATAATCCACCGTTGCGATTTAATCTTCTTACATCATTTCCGGCCTTCGAGCAATTGCTGTCATGGAGCACGATTGCGATGCAAATTATTATTTTAAGCAGATGACAGATTAATCTTCTAATAATATTATTAAATAATTTAATTTATATATAATATAATAATAATTTTAATAATACTTAATGTATTAATATTTAGTGTAATATTTAAATAATTCGTCAATCTTAACTTGTGACATATTTATATATGATGGGTTTTATATAGGTTATAAAATTTAACATCGTTATAACTTGATGTATTTTTATTAAATACATTTTTATCAAGAAAATGCGTTTATTACGTTTATATATCAATAATATAAATTTTTCAAGGAAAGGAAATTTGTTGAAAAGTTTCGTGTATACTTGCATTGCTTTTTTTGCCGAAAAATAAGTATGTACATAATGATGACAATTTGATTTTGTTTACTAAAAGATCTAGATAATTAATGTCGAAAAGATCTAGATGATTAACATTACAAGTGAACATTATAAGTGAATAATATTATCACACAAAATCACGTGCGAATGATTATCAAATTATACACAAAACATGATATCATCATAACAGTGATTTGATATCATTTAGCTTGTGTGAATGAATAAAGTTTTCAAAATATGTTTCCATTTTCTATGCAAAAGTTTAATTTATTTGCTAATTGAGCAATTAATATAAGCGATATCATGAAAAGTTAAAAATAATAAAAACAAAACAAAATGAGTCATCAATAAAAATAAAACAAAAGGCTGTTATCAGAAGAAGTTAATTTTAAATTAAATGAATAATAGTGCGATAAATAAAAGTTAAATTCATGATACAGAGGATAAGATATACTGCAATTTGAACAAATGACAAAGGAACATCAACAATAGTTCCTCGTAATCATCTTGATTTCATATAGAATCAACATTTTCGAAATATATTTATTTGTCATTAATATTTCCATATTCTGCGTGATTGCGTAAACAATTGTATATATAAATATAATTATTATATATGGAGTATTAATCAGTTTTATATATAGAGTTATCAGTTATATATAATAATTTTATATTAAAGTTAAGCTATTAAATTCTCATCCTACTCTTTGCGTAAATTTCATTTCCATATTTTCCGCAATACGTGTTTACTACGATTTTATGAAAAACTCCATAATTTCGTTAAATAATTTATATTTTTCTTAAAAAAGTATCTTAATAAAGTATCTTAAAAAAGTATCTTAATAAAGTATATAAAAGTAAATATGTATTATATGACATTTTATTAGATTTAATAATTATCGAAAAACCGCTAAAATGAAAAAACAGCGATTAATTTAATAAATCTTTTTGCACAGAGACTTGTAAGACTTCTAGTAATAGACATCGAGAAACATCGCTCAGTGACTTTTAACAGTAATCTGATGTGAAAAAGTCAAAGTTCAAGTATCGCGTGGTTAATTATTTATTTGACAGTAAATTATTTTGACAGTAAATAACGCTGTTGTTCGATTATTAGAGAGTCCGATTATTATAGAACAGATTTAATTTCTTAATATTAAAATGACTCTGACAATTAGAAACACAATTAGTAATTGATATTACTAATACTGTCATTAGTATTAT